AAGGATTCTTGGAAGTGTTACCATGTAGCTGCCATGATGACATTTTGATGGGAAGTGCACCTTTTTTCCTTTGTTTCTGCCCTTTCCCCAGTGCTAGCTCACTTGCTCAGCTCCAGAGCCGATCAGAAGCTCGAAGTCCAGGCTTCGGGATCCCTTCTTCCCTGGCAGCCTGGTTTTCCTGGCTCTGGGCAGGTTGCCAAGGCTGGCTGCTTTGAAGCTGAGGCTCCCAAGCTCCATGAGCTCTCTGGCTCCCTGCCTGCCTTGCTTGTCAGGGCTCCAGGTACCTCGAGGTGGCTTGTAAACGCTCGAGACAGTTGAACTGAAACGTCGCTCGGCCTTGCTAAACTAAGCTCTTGAATTCCCAGTCCAGAGTCTTAGTTTTTCCTTCTGTTTCAAAAAAGAAAATGGTTTTCAAGCCGGGTCTTTACCAAATGGGAGGGTAACTTGCCAGCTAATGTACCTTTCCTGTCTGAGGGGGAGAAGAAGTGGGGCTGTGCGTGATGTTGTTTAGGGTGTGGTTTGGGAGTTCTTTTCACTTCTCTAGCATTGGTATCCTGACACAACATCTGTCTTGCTGATGTGGAGTATTGCTTTGAAAACAATTAAAATTCCTGTAAAATGCAAAATGACCTGGGTTAAGTTCCTTGGAACTTTTCTACACCTTTGTGTTGGGGATAGTTTTCACAATATGTATGTATGAACAGAGCAAGGCCCGTGGAGTAGTACAGACTGAGGAAGTACAGGAGCTGAGCTGGGATCCTGCTGCTTCTAATTCCGGCCCTGACAGAGGATCATGTCATCTCCTCTGTTGAGTTTTCATAGGTAGAAAACAGTAGGAAGGCCACTTCTGTTGTAAATGGACAGCGAAAAGGGAGATGCCAGTTCCTCCTGTCTGCTCCATCTCTGCAGTGGCTGAACATGTCTAGAGTAGCTGCTAGGAAAGCTGTCTTTTCTCTGCTGCATGGAGAACTTCTTGCACCTGGAGGAGCATGTCTTGCTGGCTTCATGATTCAGAGGCATACTCTTAGGTTATCCCGCAGGTGGCCTTCAAAAATGTCGGTGACATGCAGTTTCCAACAACCCTATGATAAATTGCAGTGCCTCTGACATTCAGGTAGGCCTGTCCCTGCTGTCTCATTCATCCAAAAGAAAAAATCCAGTGCCTGTGTTCCAATATATAATTACTTGCAGTGTGTTGGTTTTGTTCACGTTTGTAGTTGCAGGCTAGAGCTGTCTGGTGGGCCTTTTTTGGTCTAATTTACCTTGCAAAATAATGTAGGAAGGAGGTTAGGTGGAAACCCTTTAAAATCTTTGAAGGGCCCAAATCCAATTCTCCTTCCTTGAGATCTTGGTGATACTGAGGACAAAAACCATATACAATAATGTGTAGTTTATTTAATAGCTTTTATTCTAGTGAAAGCAACTTTTTTAGCACAGACTGAGAAACCTATTAAAAATAGAATAAAATTGAAAACTACAGAGCAGACTCATAAACTTGCTAGGATGTGTCAGCAGGGGGAAATGTCAGCATAGTGAAATCTGTTCTGTAAATATGCATGGAGGCTGAGAAAGAGGAGAGCTTAAAGCCACAGTGCTAACTGCAAGTCTGTAGAGGAGTCTTGACATTCTGCTCGAGGAGTTTGTACACTTGGGCAAAATGTTTTAGGATTTTCAGGTGCATTGCTGAGGAGGCCATAAAGCTTCGTATTTGTCACCTTGTGAGATGAAATAAAGATTCTGAAAGATGCCAATCTGCTTTCTTTGGGCTTTATTGTCAGACTGATGTCTGCTTACGTGACAGTAAGTCAGATTACCTGTCCTGCTCTGTCCTCTGCTTTTTTGGTATAGTTTTAGAAGAAGGATTTTTTTTTTTTTTTTAATGTGAACATAGTAAGTGTTTTGAGTAGCTTTTCAGGTTTAGTGGCCTCATCTAAATAACAAAACCAACAGTATAATTGAGTTTTAAAAAGTAGTATTCTGTTCTTCAGGTCCTGTGCCTACTACTATTCCAGAATCTTTTTTTGAGCTATGTGTGTTTGTGAGTTTCTCTTGCCAATTTTGTGGTGGATATATGCCTGCTCTTGGCATTTTTTGTTTTGTTGTTTTAAAATCTTAGGGTTTTTGTCCCATTCTTCTGATTGAAGCTGATATAAAAGAATTTGGTAGCCTGGACAGGCTGTGTGTGAATTATGCCTGTGATACTGAAATATCTAGGTTATGATACGAAGCTCATGCATATTCTGTTGCACTTAAATGGTTTCACTGCTGCATTTGACAAAAAGTTTTTCTTTTGAACTCTTCTGTATATGGAGGGACATCAGTGGCTTCTCAAGCTTTTCTTGTGAAGTCTTTTGCAATGTGTTTGAGAAGATTTGTTTCCTTTCAGACTGATTTCTCTCCCAGCCCCGCTCCATACTTGCTGTACTTGGATAAAATCATGCATTCTAGCATGCTTTGTTACAAAATGTCTGTGTCACTTCCCAGAAATGTAATAAATTTCAAAGGAAATTAAAAGTTACCTTTTAGTAATGCCCCTTCCTCACGATTTGGAAACAGAGGCTAATGGACAGATCCTTTAAAATCTTGAATGCCCAGTCTGGGAATAAAAATTTAGCAATGATATACTAAAAAGATTGAAAAGTAAAAAAATTGAAGAGGTTTCTAAAAGGACAGTTTGTTTTTTCTTTCCAGGGATTCATGTGTGTGATTCCTTTCCTTTGTGGTCTTGAGGTTGTTCTTGTGGAGTTTTTAATTGGAGGGTTGTTCTTTAAGGCATCCTTTACTTTTTGTATGTGTAAGTACTGCCAGTAAAAAAAAGGATGTTACTGACTTGTGACAGTTACTAAAATGGTTTAGAAGAATTTAAAAAAGTGATTGTTCAGTAGACAATAGTGAATATTGTCACTCACTAAATGAATAGTGAGTGTTCAGTCCTTGGACTCTTAACTGTGTAAATATTATGATTGGCTTAGCTTCAGAACTGAAGTGTGGAAATCAAACTAAATACTGCCTGTTAGAGTCTTTTCAGTAAAAGTGAAGCTTTTCTAGAAGGTTATTTTGAACTCATCAGTGTCTCCTGGGGCTCTTTGTAAAAGGGTTTTGTCCTTTACCTGTGCAGCACTCCTGATGGGCAGACCTTCCTATCTGCTACTTCTTTCTGTTGCCATATTGTAAAAAAATAAATAATTTGACATCTCAACAGCCAATTAAAAGTATTTTGCATTATACATTCTTACTTGACTAATTTCTTTCAATTGAACAGAACTCATAAGTTAAGCCAGATGTGGGTGTGATTAGATGTTGAAATCTGAAATCAAGAGTTGGTCTGATATTTGTGCTGACTTCAGTTTAATGTTTTCTGTGGAAAAGAACACTTCTGAGGAGACCCATCTTTTTTGGAGTAACCAAGTAAAGTACAAATTTTCAAAACTTGCTGCTGAGTAAGCTTGAATAGGGAAGCTGTTCCTGAGAACTTCTGCCCAGAGCCTGGGCTCTGCAAGGAATGAGAACGTGAGCAAGTCACCGTCTGGGAGATAGATGAGGGGTGGAGTGACTGTCAGACAGGTGCTGAGCTCTTTCTGACCGCATGGATGCTTTTACATCATGGAGCTGACTTGTTGGACTTGTTAACTTACGTGTCCTGGTAGTTGTGTACCTGGACCTGTAACCTTTATCAGCTTGTTAGCAAACAGTGTTATACTTGCAGATGACAGGCTGGAATGTTGGGACAGCATCCTGCAGAGTTTGGTGGTGGTGACCTGTTCACTGCTCATCACATACTGTGTTAGCTGGATCAGTTTCTGTAACAGGTATGAAGCAAAAGTGAACCAGCAGCTCATTAGGTGACAGGAGGTTAGGAGTACTGCACTGACATTCTTCTCTAAGCAAGGTGTCTGGCTGAAATACCCTAAAAGGATACAACAGGAATCTCTAAAACCTGCTTTTACAGATAGCATTCAAACACTTTCTTGTCTTGCACCTCTCTTTATTCCACATTCTCCTTATACTCTGCTTTTTCTCATAACTGTTAACTATTTTGCCTGTATTTTGGTGGCATTGTTCTTCATAATGTTGCCTTTAATGACTTGCCAGCTCCTTTCCACCCCTTATGAAAATCACGTTTCAGAAATCTTGTTCCTCGAACCCAGCAGTCAATGTACATTTACATATGTATTTAAAATACAGGCCTATTAAAAACATCCCTTTTCAGTGCAGTGTCCAGACTAGGTTGTTTGGGGTGGGAAGTACATTTATGCTCTGTTCCACATAGCCTGTGTCTGTGAAGGCACAGTGAGTGGCTTGTGCCAGAGGGTGCCTTTGGGAAGTTCAGGAGGAAAATCAGGGAATAATGTGGAACAGTAATTTAAATGCCTCCTGTTCCTCCCCTGTGTTGATTTTTACCTGGGAAAAGAGTAGTATTGTGTCTGTTAGAAGGGGACCTGTAATTCAGATGCAGAAAAGTTGCCTGGAAGCCTAACTGCAGTTGAAGGCAGAGAGGACTGTATCAGCTTTTACGCGAAGGAAGATGCTGGTCCCCCACCTGAGAAGTGTAAAGTTAATACAACTGCTGGGAGTATTAAAAAAACTACCAGTCTTGGCCAAAGCTTGTTCTCCTGCATGGGAGAACCCATTGTTAATTGCTGATTCTGGGCTTGCACAAAGTTGCCTAAGTTATTGTTGCCTAAATTATTAATGGAAGCTAACTACTGAGCTACTAAATGATTGTTATTGTATTGTCATGCCAGAACTCTCAGGAGTTTGTTTTCCTCTGCTGCTTGGGCTACTGCTTTGGTAGGTTTTCTGAATTTATTTTCTGTAAACAAAAAGGTACAAATTCAAGCCTGGGCTTTGGTTTTTGATGAGGTTATCATAGGGGAAGTGAACTGTTCCCACTTGTTTTGGCCAGCTTCTTGGTGTGATCTGAAGTTGCAGAGCATTCACTTGCTCCTAATCTTTCAGCCAAAGTTACTAAATGTAGTTTTGTCTTTTTTCTTGTAGTAATGAATGTTATAACAATTGAAGACTATAAGAGCACATATTGGCCAAAGTTGGACAGTGCCATAGATCAGCTTTTAACTCAGAGTCCTGGTGACTACATCCCTATCTCCTATGAACAAATATACAGGTAAGGAAATATTTTAAGTGCTGTGTTACTTTTTCCCCCCCTTTTCTTTAGAGTTAAATGCTTGTTTTATCTTGCAGCCTATGCATGTGTCATATTTTGTATTTATGAGGAGGAAAGTGGGAAGGTTATGTTGTTTAAATTATTGGAAGGAGTGAATAATAGACACATCTTGACATCCCATGTTAAGAGGAATAAATTGTAAGGAATTAAAATGCATAAGTTCTGGTAACATTAACACTGAGGTAAGCTCCACCACAGTTGCTTAGTGTGCTGTATTAAGAAAAGTATTGAAGTCTTAACATCCCTTTCCTCAAAGGGGAAGAGGAGACTGGCATGATAGCTGTTTAATTTCATGTTTCAAAAGGTTTCTTGTTCATGTCTGGTAGAAACCAATTTGGTGCTGTAGAGGTGCAGAAGCGAATGGAAGCAACTGGTGCCAAGGTCCATCCATATAAACTGTCATTTGTGTGCTTTGCATCAGTGGATGTGGACTGACTTCCCCCTTGCCCAGCCATCCTACTGCATGTGCAGCTAGAGGTTGTATGAAGGACTGACACAAGGTTCAGTTCTTTATATCTCCATTCCTGTGTGGAGAACACTTGGTTTGTACCTGGCCTGGAGCTGCAGTTTACTTGGCTTTAAAAAGGATCTTGGCAGACAGCAGAACTGCCCTGCAGACTAAGCACTGCAGAGGGGGTGATAGGGGATTTGCTTCACAACCACACTGTTGCTTCAAACCAAAATGTTAAATCAGCCACCAAGAGGCTGACTAAAATGGAGATTTTTTTGTTCTGTAGGTGACAGGTATCCAGGGTGTTGGTAAACAGGATGGAAACTGGGCAGTTGCTGCTGCATTTACTGGCCAAGATGCCACTAAAACTAATGGCCCTTGCCAGCAACACAACTAGTAGCATTACTGTCTTCTTTTTCTTTACTACAGTGTTGCACTTTGAAATAACACTGGCAGCTCAGTCACTAATGGCTGTTGTTAGATGCTTTCAGCTCTCCTGTTTGCTTGTTCTTACCCACTTCATCTGTCTCTCCAGTTTGAAACTTTGGATTAGGGAACCAGATCAAGGTGCTTAGTCTTCCCTCTTAACTCTAGTTAAAAACTTAAATACATTGCCTTTTTTCTCTCCAAACTTTTGGAACTGCTATAGTCAGAACTTGAATGTCCCCATATGTATTAATAATGGATGGTAAATTTGTATTGAGAGACATTTTGCAGCTTTAGTGCAAGTTAATCCAAATTCTTTTTCCTAGCTTGAAACCCCCAAAGTGCAAACACTGTCAGTAAGTTAAGCCAACATCTCCCTATAGTCATCTCTGATAAAGATTAGGTGTGCAAAATTAATGCTTTAATACCTGGAGTAGAGATGTACCTAGTTAGGCTTTTCAGATAGTTGCAGTTTATCTTTGCCATTTTTTTTTACTGCTCGTAAGGTGTGTTTATTAAAGGAATAATGGGGTTTCAGTTTCTTATGGATAACCCTTGCACATCATGGTGACACTGGATGCAGTACTGTAATGTGCAGATGTCTGTTACATGTATTTTACCAAAACAGAAGATTGTTTGTAGCTTAGTGTTACTGATAAAGCCAGTGTGTCAGATTTTTAAGTTTACCTTTAAAAATTAGGTCTTTGGATGTAGTCACTGTGACACAGCCTCTTCCAACTAGGAGCTGGGGTTTTTTTGTTTGTTTTATTTTAGAGGGTGTCTCTTTTATAGATTTATAATCTAGGCAACATAGGTCGAGGATAGAAGCAAACCTGCTTTTTTTGGTTTAATTAAATGATGATGCATGATTCGAACATTACAGAAAGTCTGTAGCAGACTTGAGGTTTGGATCCTCCCTGCTCCCCTCAGCTAGTTCTTTAGTCTGAAAATTGGGTGTTTTTTGAAGTGGTTCAAGCAGCTACATATTTAGATATTTCTTTTACAGTGAAACTGAGCTGAAAATACAGTGGTCTTTTTGATGGTCTTTGTGCTGACTAAAGGAATCAAGGTTTCAATACAAATGCAAAGTAAAAATATATTATTAGAGAGATACCCAAACTTCTATGTTTGACATGACCAGTGCTAGGTTTCTACGCCACAGCAGTGAAAGCTGGGAGATAACTTCAGAAGTGGGTATGCAGACACTGGCTATGGGTGTACCCATAGGGTATCAAAGTGTGATTAGTGACTGTTTCCATCTGTGAGTCCAAAGCCTGCCTTATGCAGAGTCAGTTCCTAGTAAAAGGTTTAAATACCTTGAGAGAGAGATGTGAAGGTAACTTGGAGATGAGGAAAAATGTGAACAGCCAAGTTGTACTTCTGGCTACTGTTCCCAGGTAGAAAACAATTAGATTGCTGTTCTTGGAGACAGCTTACAGGTCTCAACTCTTCATCCTTCTCAGTAAATGAGGCTTGTCTTCTAACCTGCTTGGGTCATCCTTCTCCTAAGGTGGTTGGTTATGCTGAAGCACTAACAAGCTGCTGACTTATTTTGGGTTATAGCAGGGCAAGGATGTTGCACAGAATCAGCCTGCAATCAGGAACTGAAAAGAGGATCTGAAAAAGGGGAAGGAAGCTCTAAATAGAAGAGTTCAGATAAATTATAAACACACTCTGCACATACATGTGATTTTTGGTGTTTGGCTACAGAATATGATGTAGAAGCAGGACAGCAATATTGTATGTAACCCTAAGAAGAGATGTACTTTAAAATTCATTTTAGTCACATGGTTGCAAATGAAGTGGTCAGCCAGTGGAAGTGACTATACATTGGTTAGTTATGGAGCAAATAAACATATGGCCATTTGCTGTTGTTACCCAGCTGGCTGGTTTGGAAGAGATCACAAAAATCAGCCTGGCTTTTCTTATCAGAGTTTCTCTCTTTGATCCAAATTAAATTTGTATTTTTTGCTGTTACTGCAGCATGCAAAAATGTCTTTTGCACTTGGTAGTTCCAAAATAGGATCTGCTATTGGTAGACTTCATGTGAAGGAAACAGGACAACTTTGTTATTTAAATAACATCAAACTACAGATAATCAATTATTTTTAATATGTAATAGTAGAAGTGTGGTGTGTCTTTTAGTTTTTAAGAATGTTTTGCTCATGGTTTGCCCAATGAGCGGGCTTTGTATAGGGATGACTGAGGCTTCTGAAGATATCAAAAGGAATAAATACAAACTTCACAAAGTTGCTGATAATTCATTTGTAACACCTTCCTCCAGGAGACTCTGGGGTGGCAGTTACTGAATGAGAGCACCATCTTGGCCCCTGAAGGCTTAGAGTTGGTGCCTAACCTCCCACTTGCTTTTCAGAATCCCTGTAGCTCGTAGTCTACGGTCGTTTAATCTCATCTTTGCAGTTTGTTTGTCATGGTACCACCTTCTCAGCAGAGAATTGGAACATCATAGTTCCCCTACAGAGACACAGGGTTGCTGTACTATAACTTTAGGCTTTCAGTGTTTTTAAAAACCTGCCAAATTCTGAACCCTGATAGTTCTTTTGTGCATGTCCTAAGGAACAGTCTCTGGCCTAAATTGCTCCCTGTCACTGTGCTCTGTACAGAGGGAGAGGGGAGCAGAACTGAGATGTGGGGAGGAAATGTGGCTTGTCCAAGATACCAAGGGAAGCCTTCCTTGTGCTTCTTAATTTTTGGCAGCAAGCTTTCAAAATGCTGACTGCAAAGAATGAAATAACTCGGAGTAAAAGCTGCTCGGTACAGATAATGTTGGTGTTAGTCCTGATAGTGACAACTACCTTAATGTAACAACTTGTTGAAAGTAATACATACATACATACCTACCTACCTACATATATATATATGTTTTACAACTGTGGTAAATGTGTTTGCAATACATAGCCTTATTTTGCAGATATGTTGTATTGCATTATGACAGCAATAAAATGTTATTAAAAAAACAAAGGTGAGGCTGAAAACCAGTGTTAATTCAGCCAAGCCATGGACTGCAGAATTCATGTTATTTTCATCTCTCTCCATCTTTATTTATTATGAAAATGTAGAGGTTTCTTAGAATTTAAGTAAAAAAGGATGAAGTAACATGCTTGGGTCTGTAATTTTAGAACTTTTGCTGTTTCTTTTTAAAATGCCAGCACAGTTTTGGTGCAATTTCTATGACTGCTTGCTAGTGTTGCCCTTCTTTTAAAAAGGGTTTTGCCCTAGAATATGCATAGAAACATAAAACCTGCAGATTTTAATGGAGACTTTGTTCATGTAGGAGAGAAAAAAGCCAGAATTAGGATTTGACAGAATTAACCTGGCTATTCTGAAGTGCACTGTTAAGAGGACTCATAGGTTGAAGTGAGGCTGGGGAGGGGGAATGGGACAGACATACTGGGATCTCCAGGAAGCCTTAAGCATCTACTGGAGCTTATTCCAGGCTTAGGGCTGTATGTGAAAATTCAGCAATCATTCAGTTAACTCTGTTATCCTCTTGATTGAGTATTGAACTAAGTAATTTGAAGTCTGTTACCCTTCATTGCAAACTGTTGTAAGTTCATTGTTTGTTCCTATATTTGTTTCTGCAGTTGTGTGTATAAGTGTGTATGCCAGCAGCATTCGGAACAGATGTATAGTGACCTAATAAAAAAGATAACTAACCACTTAGAGAGAGTCTCAAAGGAGCTGCAGGTAAGAAGCTGCACAATCTAATTCTGTCTTTCCTGGGATCTGTGATTGTATCGGAGGAGCATGTAGATGGCCCATGGAGGGGATTGCCACTAAGACACATTTACACTAGCTTACTAAGTTGTGGAGTACTTCATTCACTGACTGGCTGTCAGACAGAATACCTGCTAGATTCAGTTGTGTGACACTGGTGAGCCTTAGAGATCTGAACCACATGGAGAGCAGTGGCTAAACTTGAATATGTAATACAGAATCAAAGAGTAGAGAACAGGAAATCTACAGTATCATCTAGGGTGTAAATGCTTCGGTCAGATGTCATCTGAGTACATGACATGGATGTCTGCCATTGCTGTGATAATCTACATTAACTCTTTGTAGTCCTTGTGTAACACAAGCAGCACAAAAGAGAAAATCTAAAGGAAAAAAATGAAATGAAATAAATACAAATTGTGAAGAATAAATTAGGAATTATTGCATGTGAAAGTTTTGTCCTACAGTTCAATCTGCATTTTTCTTGCCCATCTCTAGATGTCAGTGGCTTACAGCAGTGCCAATACAGTTTGTATATCCCTATCCTTCTCTGCATCTTGTTTGTGCATCCATGTTTGTTTTCATGTGTGTTGTTTGTTGAAAATTTCTTTTAGGCTAGAATATCAACATGTTCTTGAAATTGTCATTGCTGTAGCAGCAAGAATCTTATTTCCCTCCAGCTTTTTTTTGCTCTGTGACTTATTTTTGAGTTCTGTACTGACTTGTAGTGCATCAAGTAGAGGAACCCAAAACTACAGCAGCTCCTTCAGTGCTTCTAGCCTAGCAATTGATAACTAGATTTTGTCAGCCAAAAGCAGTTTTAATGCGTTTTAACTCTATTAGGTACTTCTTGCTAAGTGTGCATTCCCTTCCAAATACATAGTACTGTGATTACCCTGATGTCCTTCTTGTTTCATTCTTTTCCCCCTTGTTGCTTTCCTTGTAAAGAAAAATAATCACCTTGCGTTTAATGGGCATGGTCTTTGAGGCACTCTTAGACTATAAAATAACGAGGTTGTCTTGAGCTAAGTTCTTAGCTTCTTTTCTCTTTTACAATTTCCTTATTCCTTGTGTGGGATGACAGTCTCACTATTCTGTAAAAACTGGTTAGATGGACACAGCGTTTAAACTAAAGCCTTCCCTTGCTTCTGCTGAGCTGGTGCAGCCTGGGCATTTTATTTCTGCTTGTGAGAACGACAAATCATTGCAGCTGTACAGGTTTGGCCAGTTCTGGTACATCCCATGGCAGTGTACTTCATTACTTTGTTTTGAATTTGGGAATACCCCAAATTCTACCTACTCTGTGCTAGTCCTTGATCATTCCCTCCAAAGTTCCAAAACTGACTGAGGCAGCTACTTTTAAAGTTGACTTTAGCATATATGTGCATTAAATGCTTCTGCCTAAAACTGAGGCTGCCTTCTGGACATCAGCTGTTGAAAGAGTAATCGAGACAACTATTTAATGCAATCTTTGTCTTGCAAAAGTTTCCTTACGTAGGTCAGACACACATTGTGGCAGGTGGCAAGAGGGCTGTGATATAACATGATACCATCTTTGAGTGTATTATGTGAGTTTTGTTTGACACGAACCTGACTCTGGATTTGGATGGTATTTTTTGTATTTTTGAGCTGCTGGAAGTAAAACTCAAACTCTGTAAAGAAACTGTTATAACTGCGCTTGTGAAATTTACTCTTAAAAAATTACAGCAATATATCTTCTTATCCTGATGCTTTTTTGATCTTAATACTCTAATCTTACTGCTGACAGTCATTTGCTTTTATGTTGAAAATATACTGGATCTTTACCCCAGCAATAATAGATTACTTTGTAAATGTTGGTCACTTGGAAGGTTCTGGTTCACACAGGCTCACAGTAAAAAAACACCTATATATTTAAATCCTTTTAATGCACAATATGTGGTGTTTTGCTTTCTCTGACATAAACTCATTCCACCTGCCAACAATACTTAATCTAATTGTAGAGTTCTGTCTAATTGGCAAGGTGTAGCTTGATGCAAGAGAATTATTTTTCTTTTTATGTGCAGAGATGCAAATGTAGCCCAGTATAAGCCGGAATGTTGGTTTGTGTCAGAAAGCAGATGATGATGAAAACTGAAATGGGAGGTGAATGCAGCGTGTCTTAATCTGGACAAGCTGAGCAACTTCTTTGCCCAGGAGTGCAACAGTTTAATGCAGGTGGATTGCAGAGTATCTGTGTGTAACCAGCATGCCAGAGGAAGATGTTTCCTACAAGAACCACTCGGCAGCAGCAGTAAAACTATCAGATGTCAAATGGTAAAAGTAGGAGCATCTCAAAGGACTGGGCAGGCTTGCTCTTGCATGGTTCTAGCCTTATTGGGCTTTATCTTCTTTCTGCATGGCATTCACTGCAGAAATTCCCTGTATTTTGTTTTTCCCCCAGCTCTGTGCTTAGCCCTCAGCTGAAGACAGCAGAGCAGTGGGTACTTGGTGTCTCAGCTGCTGCCACGCAGGAGCCCATGGTCACACAGGGGCATGCACACAATCCTTTGTCATCCCCTGCATGGCTTCTGCTCTTCCAGACTGTAAGACCTTTGTGGGACTGGTGTTTGTCACCACATACACTCCCAAAGGTCTGCTTCAGAGGTTTTCACCTAAAAGCCCCCAGATTTCCGTGGTGGCAGAGGCATTGTGGAATCCCTGCATGTTATGCTTTGGGTGAAAAGTAGTGGAAATTGCCTGCTGAGTAGTTATACATTTAGATGATGTAAATTGCTTTTTATCAGACCATCAGCTCTTTGATATGGAGCCTCCTATATGTGGAGACATTTCTAGCTCCCTGCTTGCTATATGTGTAAGTAAATGATCCTCTCTTCAGGCTGTTTCAGTTATGGAAATGCTCTGAGCAAGGATTGTCTTCCTTGCTTGTAATCAGTGTCTGACCAGTTTCTCTGAATTAGGAAGACTGTTTTGACATATGGAGCTTCCAGTAATTGAGAACTAAATTTCTCTAATTCTTGAGTTGATCAGAAATTTGGATTTGGGGTGCTTAAAAAAAAAAAAAAAAAAAAAAAGGCAATAGAAGGATGGCTGCAGAAAACACGAATGTTTCCTGTTGCCTTGAGGTCTGTGAAGCCTGTAGCACACATGATTTTTCCAAGGTGCTTTATTTGGAAACACAGTTGATTATGTTGTGGCTTAAAATAATGATAGTTGTTTTTGTGGGTACATGCTGAGTCATTCAGGTGTATGAGGCAGGGTGGATACACAGCCATAGGCTTTCAAATTAAACACATCTGTTTAAAATGAATAAAATATATTTGCATTAGGTACTGGTGTTTCTGGCTTACCTTATTCTTATGCACTCTGATAAAGTCATTCAAAATCAATTACTGTGCCCATTAAGTATACCTTCAGCAAAAGGCACTGGGAAGTACTTTAGGCACTGACAATCAAGATGTGCATGGGCATTGAGCTGGCTCATAACAAAAGATGGGGTTTTTTGTGCAAGTTCAGTGAAATATTTTCTTTCTGGTTAGCAAAATCTCAAGAAGTCCTACAGGAAATGACTGAGCTGAAAAGAAAAACTTTGTTGTGTTGCACCCTCTTTTTATTTAGAAGGAATAGAAAAAAAGATCTGTTGTTTTTTGTTTGTGTGTGTTGTTTTTTCTTGTCTTGAGAAGGAAGAGTTGAATTCACTAACTAATTTTTATGTTCAGTGAATTCAGTAAGAATCAGTCTTTCTCTGAGTATTAAATACTGATTTGCTTGCATTGTTTCTGTTTTAAATCAAACAGAAGTGGTAGAGCTAAAGCCCCAGAATTTCTTGCTTAAATTCCATCAGCCTGAAAGCATTTTGGATTAAATTAGATCCAATTACTGATAGCATACTTAGGCTCTTGAACATTCCAGAGGGCTTGGGGTTTTTCTCATCTATTATGTTTTGAGATATGTGTGTATTTGTGTGTATTTTTTTAATCATAGACATGACTGAACTGAGCAGTCATTGCTGTGTTGGTAGATAATTTGCGTGGCTTCTGTGTGGCTCCCTGGACCTGCAGATGTAGGGTCTTCACTGTGCAATGCCAGAAGCTTTCCTGCCTCATATTCATTCTGAGAGCTTCTCAGCCCTTTGTCTTGACAGCTCTGGAACCAGTCAGTGCAGTATGAAAATATCTTCTTACCTTTTGTTTTCTGGGAAGAATATGCATCAGGTGATTGCAACAGCCATTCCGCTAGTTTGAGGACTGCCAAGTCTCTAGAAACTGGGTGTCTTCTGTCACGTCGCTGTCAGTTGCCATCTGTTCTTAAAAATATATCAGCACTCTGTTGTGGACAACCTGTTCCTTCCTTGCCTTTTCCTTTCTTCCTTTCTGTCTCATGTTTACCTTCCACTTGTCCTCTTTGCCATCCCAAGGTGAGGAGCTGGTAGTTTGCTGCCCCAACTCTTTCTGAAGCATTAATCTGATAAATACAGGTGCCTTACTCCAAGCCTCAGATTAGGTTCTGAACCTCTCTATTTGTCTTTTATAAACAGTGTGGACCTTCCAGTATTCCCCCTGATTACAGGGGTAAAAGTGCAAAGTTTAAGTGGCTTGTTAAATTTACCTTGTGAGCTGTGCATATAGTTAGGGTGGTGAAAAAATGCATCCAAGTCGTGCTTTGAGGAACTAATAAACTGTTTCTGACTGTGGGCAGAGTTATGTACTGGATATCACCTCATAGCATTCGTGGATATTTATGCTTTTAGGTAATTTTACCCCAAAATGTTTTGTGGGTATATCTTGCTTTGCTCCCAAAGTAAACTGATGGTTACATTACCTTTACGTCCTGCTCTGTTGGGACTGGACAGTTACGCTGGTCTGTAAAATTGAACTTTGAACAAGTGGTTGTTTTTTGTGTAAAATTAGTAAGTCAGATTGCTAATGAAGTTATGAGTAGACTTTAGTAATGTATTTATGGGAGGCCAGGTTACATACTACGTCGACATGAAG